GCGCCCACAGCAGCCGCCGGCCCAGCGCGCCCAGCGCCGCCAGCCCCGCGCCGCCGCCGCTCCCGCTCCGCCGCTCCATCCCCGCTCCGCTCCCGCTCCCGGTCCCGCTCTGCCCCGGGGCCGCCCGCCCACGCCCACCGCACGCGCGCCTCGCCCATTGGCTGACCCGGGACGGGACCCGGCCACGCCCCTCGTCCCCCCGCACCATCCATTGGCCGCCCGCCAACCCCAGCACCGCCCACTCCGCAGTGGGCGTGACCTCGGGGAGTCACGTGTTACCCCGCCACGCCCGTATTTATTGGTGGGCGTGGTTCAGGCGAGGGGCGTGGCCGAGGTCACGTGTCCGCGGCTCCCCCGGCCCTTCCCGGGGGTACCAAACACCCCCCCCCTTCCCCGGGACAGCGACCGGGACCGGGTGGTTTGGGGTTTTTTAATAGCTGAAAATGTTACAGGGCCAGCGCAGCCCCGGTGCCGCCCCTGCCGCGGGACTCAGTCCTGGCACCGGGCGAGGGGGCCGTGTCCATTCCCGAGGCTCCAGGGGGGAGCAGCCACAACCCCCCCACGCCCCCAAGGAGGTTTCCCCACACGATGGGTGCCGGACCAAGGGGGGGGTCCCGCACCCACACCCCCGTGGGAGCCACCAGCGTCCACAGGCTGCGCAGGGTCCGTGTGTCCGTCCTCCTGCTGCCCCCCGGGCTCAGTTCCACGGGGCGGGGGGTCAGTGGGGCATGGCCGTTATCCTCATGCTCTGCGAGGCGATGGGGTAGGTCACCATGGGGGTGGTGGCGTGGCTCATGGTGATGCCCCCGAGGGGCTGCGCCATGGACACGGCCACGGGCGCCACCGACACGGCCACGGGCGCCATGGACACGGGGGGGGGCCATGCCCTGGGCGATGGTCTGCGCCAGGGCCGCCGACAGCGGCGCGATCTCGGGGTTCATGGGGGGCGCGGCGTTGGCGGGGGGGGCGGCCTGGGCGCCGGCGGGGGCCACCAAATCCTGCTGGGTGACGGGCCGGGGCTGCAGGGCCTGGCTGCTGAGCGTGGTGTGCGTCTGCGCGATGCTGTGGTTATAGTTGGTGACGGTGCCCACGGTGGGCGCCAGAGTCTGCTCGGTGGCCGTGGCCGTGGAGCTCAGCGTCATCACCTTGGCCTGGTTGCGGAACTGCGCGTTCTGCTCCAGCAGCACCTCGTTGGTGGCCAGCAGGTTGTTCACCTGCTTCTTGAGGTCCTCCACGCGCTTGCGCAGCAGGACGTTCTCCTCCTCCAGCAGCCGGTACTCCACGGCCCGGGGGCTGCCGAAGCTGTACTCGTAGGTCTCGTACAGCCCCTCCACCCGCCGCCGCTTCAGCACCGGCTCGTGCTCGTCGTAGCGGTCGGGGTCGTAGAGGAGCCCGTCGAAGGGCTCGAAGCGGCGCCCGGCGGGGCCCAGCCCCTGCTCCCGCCCCCGCGCCTCGTACTCGTAGTCCCGCTGCAGGTGCTGGAACTTGCACTTGGCCCCGCGCTGGCAGTCGCCCTTCAGGAAGTCCCTGCAGATGGGCACCTCCTCCTTGCTGTTGGGCAGGTCGGCGGGCGACAGCCCCAGCCCCGCAGCCACCTTCTGGCGCAGGCGCGGGGGCAGCTCCCCCGTCTTCTTGTAGCAGTCCTCGTCCTCCTTGGTGCCGTGGATGAAGCGGCAGTTGAGGCGCACGCACTCCTTGTTCTGGAAGTCGTGGCAGAAGATGAACTCGTTCTTCCTCACGCCCAGGTTGGTGACCTCGCTGATGTCGGGGTGGCGGAAGCGGCAGCGCTTCCCGCGCTTGCAGACGTTCCGCAGGAAGTCCCGGCAGATGTCGTCGGCGTTGGCACCCACCTCGTCCCCGCCGCCGCCGCCGCCGCTCCCGTTGGTGTAGCCGTCCCGGTCCGGCATCTTCGGTGCAGCTCCGGGTGCTGCGGGGGAGGGACGGGGTGAGGGAGGCACCGGGAGGGAGCCGCGGGAGCCGGCGGAGGGGAACACCCGCCCCGGGGCACCGGGAACAGAGAGAGACAGGGACGGGGTGAGGGAGGCACCGGGAGCGGCTCCGGGACCGGGGAGAATCACCCGCCACAGGGCTCTGGCGCCGCCGTGGAGACGGCGCAGAGGCAGCAGGGCCCGGGAGCTCCCCCACAGCCGCCGGTGCCCCCCGGGATGTCCCGGGTGTCCCCACAGCCCTTGCCCGCTCCCAGCGCCACCGCCGTCCCGGAGGGAACCCCGGGCCGCCCGTCACTGCCGCTCCCCGCGGCTGCCAGTGCCGCCGGCGCCTCCCGAGTGCCGCCAAGCGCCGGTGTGCGGGGCCCTCGCCCGTGACAGCCCCGCGGGGCACTCCGGGAGGGACTCGCACGGACACCCGCGCGGCCCGGCGGGGGCGAGGGACCGGCCCGGCGGAGCGCGCCCTCCCCCCGGGCCCGCACTCACCGCTCGCGGCCTCTCCGCGGTGCCTCCGGCGCCAGGAACGCGCGGCCGGTGCCGGCGGCGGGCGGGACCCGCTGGGCGCCGCTTCCGGGGCGGCCCGGAAGGACCCGCGCGGCGGCGCGCCGGAACTACGTCACCGTGACGTCACTCGCGGCAGCCACCGCCGCGCGGGGAGACCCCGGCGTCACCTCCCCAGTCCCCAGTCCCGGTGTCATCTGGCCCCGTCACACCCCCCTGAATCCCAGCCCCGGTGCTACCTCCCGATCCTGTCACACCACCCCAAACTCCGGTCCCGATGTCACCTCCCGGCCCCGGTGCCACATCCAGGTCCCGGTGTCACCTGCCCTGCTCCGGCCGCCCCCGGTCCCAGCTCACGGCACCGCCTGCCAGTCCCGTTACCGGAGGTATCGCCCGTTCCCGGAGGAGCCCCTGGCCCCACCTGCCCTGTTACCGGAGGAGCCCCGGTGCCGGTCACCGGCCCCGTTCAAAGAGGAACCTCGGGCTTCTCCCATCTCTCGTCGCCGGGGAAGCCCCTTCCCGCCGTCCCGGTGGCCCCGTTACCGGAGGCTCCCCGGTCCCAGCCCCCCGGAGCCGCCACACATTGTTCTAATAACCAGCTTTTATTCATAGCACAGCGGCCGTTACAGAGCAGAGAGAACTCGGGCCCGGCCCAGCGGGACCCCCGCGGCCCCGGGAGGTCACCGGCGTGTCACCAGGGTGTCACCGAGACGGCCCCGGGCCGCGGCCCCAGCGGGGTCGCTCACTTGGACCTCTGCCTCATCTTCCTCCTCTTGCGCTTCAGCCTGGGGACAGAAGGGACAAGGTGGCGGCGTCACCCCCGCGGCCCCCCAGACCACCCTCTGGGGCCCTCCCGAGGGTCCCCTCAGGGGTCCTCACGTACCTGCGCATTCGCTTCTTGCGCCACTGCGGGAGAGAAGGAGGGGCCGTTAGAGCCGGTACCGGGGGGCTGGATGCCGGTGCCCCAGCCCTACACTGTCCCCGTACCCCCAGTGCCTCGTTGGTTTGGCTCTCCCAGTGTTCCCAGTGTCCCCAGTCCCACACCGTCCCAGTGAGGCCTGAGCGGGTCTGAGTCGCAGCCCGGGACCCCCAGACCTCGGAGCCCCCTCCCCAACCTGGGGCACGCGCCCCCCCCCCTCCATAAGGACCCCGCCTGCACCACAGGTTCCCCCACCCTGCTCCCGGCAAAGACACCCCCGAGGGACCCCAACTTCCACGGGAACCTCCCCAAACCCAGCACAGGGACCCTCCCCCGCCCTCAGAGACACCCCACCAGGACCCTCCACCCCCTGGAACAACCTCTGGGACGCCCCCCAGGGACCCCAAATTCCACAGGGACCTCCCCTCGCGCCCCAGCGATACCCCACCCAGCAGGACCCCCCAACCCCTGGGATCCCCACCGAGACCCTCGTCCCCTGCACCAAGAGATGGGACCCCCCTCCCCTGGGACTCCCCCCATCCTCAGGAGTGTCCAGGCCGCAGGGTCCCTCCCACCCGCGATCCAGGCTCGGCCACCGCTGAGGCGCCATCGGCCGCCCCCCGGCGCTCACCTTGGCCCTCATGGCGGGTCGGCGGCGGCTCCGCGCTCAGTCCGGGCGGGCGGGGGCGGCGGATGGAGGCGGATGGAGGCGGATGGAGGCGGCGGCCAGGGAAGGCCCCAATATGGCGGCAGTGGCCGAGAGGGGCCCGCGGCGCCCGGCTGGCGGTATTTATAGTGGAGATAAGCCACGCCCACAGCGACGAGGGGCACGACGGGATCTGTAGTTCCTTGCCCCGAAGCATCGCGGGAGCTGTAGTCCGGCCGCTGGCCGCCATTTTGCGCAGCCCCCCTTTTGGGGGGGTCCCCAAAAGTGTGTGTGTGTGTGTGTCCCCAAACTCCCCTCCGACCTGTCAACGTTTAAGTTTATTTGGAATGTGAGCATCAAAAACAGTTTTTCTGGGAGTTTCCAGGGTGTGAACAGGATTGTTGCATCACAAAGGCCATCCAGGGACTTTCCTTTAAAAATATAAAGCATTTATACTGTAATATAAATATATAAAACCTAAAAATATTTGTATAATAATATAAAATATAAAAAATAAAATTAAATAAACCAGCGAGTCTCAGGGGTTTATAAATCTATGCCGTGGACTAGGAGAGCACACAGCTCCCAGCTCCAGGCAAAATACTGTTTAAAAAGGCTAAACCCAAGGGGGTTTCCCTCAAAATGAGAGATTTTTTTCCCTCAGATTCACAGTTCAGATGCCAGAGATGCCCAGGATCCCACATTCACCCCACACCCACCCCAGAGCTGAAAGAACTGGAGACAAGGAGCAGAAAGATGGAAAAAATTCAGAATAAAATCCAATATCGCATCGTTTATTCTCTTTTATTGACTTTGGTAATATTTGCACGTGTGGAGTTTGGGGTGGAAAACTCGGATCTTGACGAAGGAAGCACAGCAGCCTGCGGAGACGCCCGGGAATGTTCTTAAAAGGCAAGAGTTTTTCCCAAATTCAGCTCCGTCGGGGGGAGGGGGGAGGAAGAACCAGAGGTATCGGCAAAGAAAAAAACCTCACATTCAACTCATGGCATCAGGCGGCTTTTTTTCTTTTTTTTTTTTTCTTTTTTTTTATAAAAGTGACTACAAAAGAGCGATACCCCTGGCCGGGCTCGGCCCCGACTCCGGCGGCTCCGGCAGCGCTTCCCTCACCCGTCACCTGAGGAACGGCTGAGATTTTTTTTCCCCCAATTACAAACGTGTAATCCAGAGGGAAGGGTGAGAAATCCTCTGGCCCGAGGTGACAGGCGGGAAAGGTGGAATGTGCTCCCGGGGGACACAGGGAATTGGACTCGCCTGCCCCTCCGCAGGGCCGGAATGTCGGCGGCTTCCGAGGATTTGGACAATTTAAAAACGAGTTTGTGTTAAAAAATAGCGAGTTTATCCCTTAAATGAAGGCAGAGACAAAAACGGAGCAGCCAGACCACTCTCCCAGGGGACCTCAAATTTGCCGTTTTTCCCAATTATAAATATAAATTCCAGAGGGGAAAGGTAAATCCTCTGGCACCGTGTCCCAGATCACTCACACAGGGCACTTTTCTGGGTGTAATTAGCTGGTTTTGGGTGGGTTTTTTTGTCCTCCATTAAAATTTGTAAAGGGAAAAATTAAAAAATATAAAAGGAGGATGAGGAGGAAGAGGAGAACAAGGAGGAGGAAGGAAGCAGGTGGCTCCCTACACTCCCTCTCACCGGATTGGGATTAATTCCCCTCTTCAAATGTGGGAAATATAAAAGGTTAAAGATTTGATAGTGACTTTTACTCCTAATTTTATTTTTTCTGCTCTTTTTTCAGTTGTCTGAAGTGGCCGAGAGATTCCTCCCTGCTTGGCAAAGTCAACGGGAGCTGCTTGGAGTCAGTGGGAAGTCCAGACTGTCTGGTCCTGAGGGGACCAACAGTGCCAGATTATTTTGCTTCTGGTTGGATTTTTTTGGGGGGAAAAGGGGCCATTTGAGTGATTTGGGGGCTCTCAGTCGCCAGCCTCATTCTCCTCCGCCGTCTCTCCCGTGGTGGCATTTTCTGCATTCTTGGAAGCCTGTGGGGAAACCAGGAACACATCAGAGCTGGGGGGTCCCACACGGCCACAGCCTACCCTGGGGGCCCTGGAGAAGCCCCATCCCACGGAGCTGCTGCTTCCTGAGGTGGGAAAACACTGAAATGAACCCAAAACACAGGACCTGGGAGCATCTGGGTCCTGTGAGCCACAAGTTTACACAAGGGAATGGACAAATTACCTTCTTTTTCTTCTTTTTCTGGGTCTTCCGGCTTGCAGAGCTTTGTAGAAGGGCCTGGAGACAGGAAGGAAATGTGAGGAGCTGGAAAACTACTCCTTTTTTAGTCAGGAGGATGGGGAACACCACTAGAGGGGAACAGCAGGGAAATCCTCGGGGGCACAGCATGGATGGAGAATTCCAAGGTGTGATTCCCTAAATCCTTCCTGGAAAGGACTGGGAGTTCTTATCAAGCCATAAGAGCTTGAAGAAGTAAAGGGGCCCAGTCTGGGCTTAACCAAATCTTGCCAAATTCACAGCACAAACCTCTGCAGAGGCTGCTGGATTTTAATTTCCACCTTCCCCGCCCCGGGATGCAGGGACAGGGTGGTACCTCTGGATAAATACACGTATTATATACACTGTACATACATGTTACTTATACAATTTTATAAATACATTTAATCAATATATTAATATTTGCAATTATCAATATTAATCACATTTAGGATTCAACCAACCTTCAGTTCTCCGTCCTGCACCTCGAAGTCGGACTTGTAGAGCTCGGGCTCGAAGGGGCCGCTCGTTATCCGCATGGGCCCGTTGGGCATCAGCAGCACCGTGAACTTGAACTGTGCAACAAACTCCCCTGCGAGGCACAGCCCGGGTTAAACCTGCCAGGACCTGCGGGGCTGACCCCCGGAGTGCTCCAGGCAGGCACTGACCCCTGATCCCAGCACTGACCCCTGACCCAGGCACTGACCCCTGACCCAGGCACTGACCCCTGATCCCAGCACTGATCCCTGACCCAGGCACTGACCCCTGATCCCAGCACTGACCCCCGATCCCAACAGTGATCCCTGACCCCAACAGTGATCCCTGACCCAGGCACTGACCCCTGATCCCAGCAGTGATCCCTGATCCCAGCATTGTTCCATGTTCCCACCTGGCTAAAAACCACCTCAGAGGAGCTTCTTCAACCTGCCAGGACCCACAGTCCCTGCTCCTGAGCAGCTCCTCTGGCTCCATCCTCCCCTATTCCTCCCTCACCTGCCCCTTCCCCACCCAGGACTCACCTTCCTTCTCGTAGAGGACGTTGAAGGGCTGGAGCAGCTCGTGTTTGGTGCATTCCACCACCCCCATACGGGCCTTCTTCTCGTCCTCAAAAGCCCTGGGAGGAGACAGAGACACCTGAGCTCAAACCCCATCTCACACCTGAGCTCAAATCCCCTGCACTTCCTGCTTAGGCCCATCACATCCTTTCTACACCCTCTCCTGGGCTTGAATCCTGCAAC